TTTGATGTTGTGAAATTCAGAAAAGGATTAAGAGTTTAAGAATGTTGTTAGAATCCTTTATGTAGATAAAGACTCGGACTAGAGTGGAAGGATTTGTAATGTATTGATATGCCAACAGATCTCGAGTTAGAAAATGATTGGTCATCGTGGGATGGTGGGTGAATGAGGATTAGACATGTTGCGTTTTAGAAAACTTGAATACGAGTTTTAAGGAAACGCTATTATAGTTTGGTACGATGATTTATACTCCCTTATGGTTGTCGAATACTAATTGACAAATTGAGGAACTGATCACCCTCAATCCATTGTTAATAGTAGACGAGATTATGTTGGATGTTATGGATTTGTCCTGCTATCTTAATAGTGTGAAAAAGTATGGATGTTATATCGCGAGAATAATCGTTCACCAGTTTGTGTGAAATTAGTAGTGGAGTCGTTGAGTGAGATTTGAGACGTAATGAACAATTCAGAGTAGTGGGTTTGTACGCGAGCTAACGTCACAAAGTGAAAGATTAATAATATCAAGTGAACAATGATTTTATGATAGATGTTATAGAAAGTTTGGGATTAGATTGAAACTTGTAAACCATATAATCGACGAAAATTTTAATGAGGACGATGACTTAAGATGGATGATCAGAGTTGCGCAACTGAAGTGTTATGTGGCGCAATTGTTATACATGTACGACTCGTTAGAAGTGAAGGATTAAAACATCAGAAGCCTATGGGAATGGCGTGTCTTAATTTACATGCTTGATTTTGTAGATGGTTGATATAGAGATGTTGTGCCATGGCACTATGTTTGATAGTAAATATTTGCGGATTTTATAAGAAGATTGTTGTGCATTGTTGGTTGATGGTGAGCGATGAGTATGCTTGCTGAGTTATACAATTAAGTTGATATTGTAATGATTTTTTTAATCATTATTGAGATGTTATTGTTGGTTACCGTAAGTGATGAATAATATCTTATAATATTACGAAGTTAATTTTGTTGACTATGTTGATGTTACTATAATGGTGAATAAAGTTGTTGATATTTTGTTGATAGTTGACGTACATATACATATAAGAATAAAGTTGTATATGCGCTTTGGTGTTGGGAAAGTTGTTAAGAGGTGGCATGGTATATCCAAGTATAAGTGAATTATGGTTGTTACATTTTTACTGTGGGAGTTGTTATGTCAGAGTGTTGCCGAAAAGGTTGGTAAGTTATTGACGAGTATGTCGTGATGGTGTTGAGTGATTAGCATGTGTGTAGTAGATTTACATCATGATTGAGTTGTTACTATGTCAAAAAGTAGTGGCCGAAGTGTTGGTAAATGCGAAGTTTGAGGATTAGAGAGTTGGAAATGAGGTTCGCTTTAAGGATGAAAGTATCGAGTAGATTTTCGAGGACGAAAATATCCTAAGTGAGGGAGAGTTATAACGGCCCGATAATTTAATTAATTATTTAATTAAAATTATTAGTTGGAGTTGAGCAATATTGTGAATTATTGTTAAGTTGCTCTGTGACATTATTTGATTAAATGGTGGTTTAATAATATTAAATATATTGAAGCATTATAAGATTAATTGTTGGGCTTATTTAAGTGATGTCATGTAGTAAATATGAGAGTGTGGATATTGGCCCAATAAGAACTACTAGAATTACAAGGTTAAGTGGATATAAAAGGAATTAGGTTAATTGAGAAAAAGTGAGAGAATAGATGAGAGAAACTCATTCCCGTTTTTATTGTAGAAGTCTCACTAAATTTGCAATATACGATTCGTTAACCGTTGGATCATGCTCAACTTTTGAGGGTAGGTTCGCAACACCTACATCTAACGTTTGACCGTTGGGATCTTCAAAATAAGGCCTGAGTTGGGAGATATCATCATCGCACTGTAGCTACATATTTGGGAAAATTTTCAGCTTTGATTCTGATCTAGAGAGAAAAAAATATCGGAAGATTTTGGTACAAGAGAAGTTGCAGAGAAGAGAAAAATAAGGGTTTTGAGGATAATAAGAGAGATACATGGAAGTTACACCAAGCGGCCAAGAGGAGATTCAATCAGAGACCCTTAGAGTTACCTTCAATCCAAACCTGGTAAGGGTGGGGTTCAATCTCTATAACCGGGTATATGATAAACCGTATGTGGGGTTGGGTTGTATAAATTTGTGACACGAATTGTCGTCGATTCAGTTATATTGTGATTCTGTGAAGATTATCAGTCCTGTAATTTTAGTTGTTAGTGAATGTTCATAATGTGTTGATGAAGTTGTTCTGTAATTTATTTAAATCGTATTTCTGTTATGGTGTTGTTATGACTATTATTGAGTTGTTGTCCTAAGATGAGACTCGAAAGAACATATAGGCGTGGTGGAAAGACTATGTCATATCTTATATTATTAATAAGTTAATATAATTAGTAAAATAATTTAGTATCAAATTGGATTAAAGAAGTTGCAGAAATAAATTGTAATGCTTTAGTCAAATGAATATCAGGATGTATATGTAAGAGTAGCATAAATAATAGTGTATGGACAAATTTAGATGAACATTGTTAGGAAGTATCAGTAGATATAGAAATTGTAAATTATCATACAAAAAGCATAACGGAGAATTTCAGTAACAGGAGGAATAAGTTGAAATTGGTTTTGGTTTATAACTAATATTTGTCATTGACAGGAAGTTGTAGTAATAGAAGTTGTAGATAGCAAACAAGTAGTTTTGGCAGAGACCAATAATAACAGCAAGCTAAATAACAAAGGTAGTGTAATTTAGTAGAATAAATTGATTAGTAGAAGTATAAATAAATAGTAGTAATAACAGTATATAAAATAGTACCGATTAGCCAAATTTGTAGATTTAGGCGGTAAAAGTAGTTAACCGGAATTAGTTGAAATTGTCGGAGTGAGTCGTATATACATATGAGTATTTTTAGTTGGTTTGTTTTGTTAGAATTATATAAAATAAAGTTGATTTGCAGGTGAAGTCGAATTAAGTTGAATGGTTTCAGTTTATGGAATTGTGTTGTATACCTTGCTGAAAAATATGAAATTACAGGTGATGATGAATTTGGTTGAATTGCCTCTATTTATGGGCAATATTATGTTGTAGGCCTATGGCCAATGTTGAGATGTTGTGATTGTTGTGATTGTCTCTGTGAATTATTGTTGATAATGTGAAGTTGCAGAGATTTTAGATGATGATGAATTACCTCTATTTACTGGTAATAATGGTGACGTGGGCTTATGCCTTGTGATGAATGATGATTGTTGTTAGTATGCGATGGTGCATTCATTAAGTCACATACATTTGCATACTCTGTTATGGCCTGTATTGACGGATTTTATGAAGGCCTGTATTGGCAAACTGCAAAGAAAGCTTATGCCTTGTTGATGCCTCTATTAATTGGCAATTTTTAAGTTGGGAGTTCTGCTCCGATGGTACCACATGCATGTGCATTGTGATTAAGTCGCATTTGATGTTGCATCTTGAGTTGTGGTGAAGATAGATTCGTTCTTGCTTTATGTTGTTGACTTGTTGTGACAAGTATTATCTAAAAGCTGTGAATTTAGTAGTTATGTCGTGTTGATGTTTTATTGTGATTAAAGTTGTTTGTAGGTTGTGAAGTAGTGATTTTATATGATCTGATTTAATATATTATTTATCGTATGACTAATTATATAGTTTGATATCTCACCCCTTATGTTTGAATGTTGTCCTCTGTTGGTAATATGTAGGTAACCAAGAAGGATAGTTATTACCTCGTTAGTTCGAGTCGGTGTTGTCGCTGTGATACATAGCACTCGAGGGGATAGACGCTTGATGTTTAGTTGTTGATTATTATTTCAGTTGTTGAATTTTTAAGTTGATTATATGAAATAATTGTTGTCTTGAGGTTGTTTTAGTTGAATAAAAGATGTTAAGTGAATTGAAGTTGAGTATGTATATTCCGTTGCTTATCAATAAAAAGTTGTTTGATTTTGAAGAATAAATCAAATTGTTACCGGTTCATCCGAGTTAAGTGTTATGTATATATTTGTATGCGATTAAATGAAGATTGATTTTTAGTTGAAAATGTAACATCCTATTTATGTTGAACTCTGATTTTCTTATTATTTGCTGGGTAGAAATGGGATGAAGGTCAGTATTCTAGAATCATTATTCTATGAACAACCCCGAGATTCTAACCCAAACAACAACTTTTTCAATGGTATCACTTGCTGGGTGAAAATTTGGGGCTCCATTCTTTCACAGTGAAATAATGGTCATAGATGAACCACAGACCGTTGGTTAACGCCACTGTATGATCATCCTCATGTGTAAAAGCGACGATGAAGTAATCATTACTTAAATAAATGATGTTCATAACTCCTTTCTTGATCCACATCTGTTTCAGTCGTGTCTCAAGAAATTTGTAGCCAATTCTCCTTCCAAACAACTTCACAATGACTCCATGCCGCCATGGCCGATAGATCCTTCGTTCTTCATGCTCTGAGAATATGAATTTAGGACAAACATATCCTCCTTCAAGATGATCCTCCACTTTCATATTTTCCATATCTAATATATTCATTTAGGATGCTTCATCTTCGTCTTCGAATTCATCACTTTCTTCCATGCATCCAACTTCGAATCCAATATTTACAAAAAAAAAAAAAACTTAAATAATATTTTTTCTATATTATAGAATATAATATAATTTAACACCATAATTGAGTCAAACATGGGCACAATAATTCAACATAAAATAATAAAGCAAGAAAAATATGGTTTGAAAGATACTTAAAGAAAAGATAGTCATAGAAGAATAAACCATACCAACCTTTTACTTTGAATAACCATCCACATCTAGAAACTCTGTCGTAAAGTGCATTGAACCAGCTCAGTACAAAACAAAACAGCAAACACAATAATTATTCCTTTCAAAGAAACAAAGTTAACACGTGTAATGTATATTTGTATAATACAATATCTGTATTCTTTTCTAGTTCTACGTATTGTATAATTATACTCCAATCTTGGCAACAGAGAAGACAGACACACCGTAGAAAAAGTGTTGTCACACACACAACACTGCTTACCTGTGTTTCCTGTCTTTTTCCAATCTTTGACCCAACGAAACAACAACCCTTACCATCACCACCTTTCGGCGCTCTTTTTCTTTTATCCCATTTTTTTCTTCTTTCTTTCCCTCCACACACCCCCGTTTTTCTCATTATTTCTTTTCACACCCCCATCAACCACCACCACCACACAACCATATATGTTTTTCTCTTCCCATTATTACCCACACTATATGCAAATCAAAACCACTTCATAAATATTTATTTATTTTTTTTTTTAATTTTCAAATCTAACAACACACTTTTCAGGTAAACCTACTTTTTAATTTCTGTGATTGATTTTGCAATTGCTTAAGTAGATCGAGATTCTGGTTTATTCTTTCATTATTTTTGTTTTTATTTCATGATTTTTGTGATTGTTAATCTTGCATTTGATTAGGGTATTATTTTGGAGTGTGTTATTATCTTTAATTAGTAGTATTTGTTAACTTTCATGGACTAATTGTACTTTGCATGCTTTTAATAGAATTTGATAGGGCTTAATAAATTGATGATTTTTTTGGGGATTTGTTACTTTCCTTTGATATAAAGTAGCAGATAGTTGATTGTGGAAGAGCTTATAGCAGATTAGGTAACAAATTGAATTAGTATTAGTAATTTTTAAAAATAAGATAGTAAGGATAAAATTCAGTAAGAAAAATGATAAGCTATAAGCTCAAACACTACTTGAAGTAGTTTATAAAAAAAGCACTATAAGCTAGTAATAAAAGCTCTAAGCTTGCTAGAAAAACTGTTACCAAACAGTTGGACATATGAGTTTATAAGCTATATATAAGCTCGAAAATTGGCTTTGCTAAACCGAACCTTTGTTATCCGAAAGGGCTTTCCTTTTTTGTTTTTTGTTTTTGCTCCTGACACTAAGTTGGTTCTCTTGTTAGGTGAAATCAAGTTCACTATTGCGTATACATATTAGAGAAGGGCATTGAAATACTGTGATTTCTGTGGGAGCTTGAGTAGTCATCTTCTATGCTGTGTTTTTTAACAGAAAATATGGGCTTACTATGTAGCAAAAGTAACCGTTACAATGATGCCAAAGCTGAAGAAAATGCACAGGTCGTTTGTACAGCTATACTCAACTGAGTATATATACTTTTTAAGTTCTTGATAATCTGAAAGTGTTGCACAGATTTTAATTTCATAAAGGTTATATGCATTTGCAGACTGCAGAAATTGAAAGAAGAATAGAGTTAGAAACGAAGGCCGAAAAGCATATTCAGAAACTTCTACTACTAGGTATACATTTTATCAACAGTTTTCTTTTAATCTCAGTCTTATATGCTTAATGTTTCAGTAAGAGATTGTAAAGCTGAAATTAATCAATTCTGAAATCTATAATGTATGAATAATGACGCTGTCCAGATTTTGAAAGAATGTGTATCGTTTATAAGTAGTTTCTGCTGGAAATTGAAGTGTTTCCAAACACTGAATGCTGTGAAGTAGCTTTGTAGATCATTTGATTTTTCTGTCTCCTTTATTTATAAAATCAGAAAACGGTCATCTTTGCAGCATAAGGTGTTTTACTATATTATGAAAAAAGGTTATTCAACTTCTGATTGAGGGTTACTTGATTCAGAATTCAAAATGTATTTTAGATATAATTCCAATTACGAGCTTTCATCTAATAGCCTTAAGCTTTTGGGATAGTTTGTCATTGACATGGCATCAAGCTTTTGACCAAGTGGTGATGAGTTTGAGCCCTGCTGCCTCTGTTTTCTGAATAAAATTTTGTAGCAGAAAGTGTTTTAATCTTGATGGTTGAGTAAATGATTGGTATACTCACGTTTTTAGGATTTGAAATAACTGATCAAAATGAATATTAGATTTTCCTTATTCACTGCGCTAACTTCTTTAAGTGATCTATCCAGTTGTCGAGAATAATTGCATACTCATTTGAATCATTTATGCAATAATCCCTTATTTGCTTGCTTGCTTGCTTTCGTTATTTTTATGGCGCACTTATTATAACTATTCAACGACCCTTTTTTTAGGAGCTGGAGAGTCAGGGAAGTCCACTATATTTAAGCAGGCAAGAAATTTCATTCTCTCCATATCTTAGCAATAGCACCGCGTGTTATACTTGATTTTTGATTTTGATTTTTCTATAATATGCAGATAAAACTTTTATTTCAAACTGGATTTGATGAGGCAGAGCTAAAAAGCTATCTACCAGTCGTTCATGCTAATGTATATCAGACAATAAAAGTACGCAATACTTGAAAGGGTGTGTTGATTATTTTTCTCTTAAAAATAAAGTGTCTGTAGTGTCCACTGTTCGTAGTTACTGTTTTCTGTGAATTGTGTTTTGATTGACTTGGCTGAGTAAACTGTCGTCCTTACTATGTAATTGACGTGTTTATACAGTTACTTCACGACGGATCAAAGGAGTTTGCACAGAATGATGTTGATTTTTCGAAGTATGTTATATCCAGTGAATATAAGGTAATTCAATGTTATTGCCTCTTTTGCTTTTGTCATATTTTTATATCAATTTTCTTCTAAATTCAAAAGCTTTCTTATTGCTGTGATAGGACATTGGTGAAAAGTTATCAGAAATTGGTGGCAGGCTGGATTACCCACGTCTCACCAAGGAACTTGCACAGGAAATTGAGAGTCTGTGGAAGGATGCTGCAATTCAGGTGGCTAAATGGCATACTTTGATTGCTTTTACTATTTTAACTCTACTCTTTAGTCCTTCATTGTTTTTCCAATATAAAAAATGATTAGTATGAACCACATATTTTTCTTTCTGTAGGAAACATATGCCCGTGGTAATGAGCTCCAAGTTCCAGACTGCACACATTATTTCATGGAAAATTTGCAGAGGCTGTCTGATGCAAGTTATGTTCCAACAAAGGTATCCAATAATTAGCATGCCATTGTTTTCTTACGTTGATTTTAAAGCATATTCCTAATTTCACGGCCTATAGTTTTGTCTGCATTTTTTACACCTTTGGTCTTGGGAAATTTAAAGGCCCCTTTATATCCAAAATTTCGTAGTTTAAGCATGTCACTTCCATCGAACAAAAATAACAAGCACATAAATGGAGATGCAAGAATACTTTTGGGGTAAAATTGTGATAAAAAAACACCTATCAAACTAAAGGGAAAATTTACTACACTATATGACTTGTGGAGATGTATGGGACTGAATTCCAGGTGGTAAACAGCAACAGCCACTAAGGAAGTTAATCGCAATGTTGGAAAAACGAGAATTATGATATACTACTACCTCCGTCTCTAACAACAACAACGGCAACATAGGCTTATTCCACTAAGTGGAGTCGGTTACATGAATCAAATTTCGCTATAATGTTCTATCCTATACCATGTTTCTATCTAATTCGTTTATCTCGAGGTCTTTTTTAATAGTTTTTCTTATAATTTTTCTAGGTCTTTCTCTACCTCTAGTTGATCGACTCATTTTCATCTAATCTACTCTTTTTACAACATAATTTACAAGTCTTTTCTCTACATACATAAACCACCTAAGTCTATTTTCCACCCTCTTTTCTACTATAGGCGCTACTCCAACATTCTCACTAATATTGTCATTTCTAATTTTATCCTGTCTAGTCTTACAACACATCCAACGCAACATTCTCATCTCTGGTACACTCACTTTATTCTCGTGTTGATTCTTAACCGCCCAACATTATGTCTCATACAACATCGTAGTTCTTACCGTTGTTTGGTAAATTTTTCCCTTTAGATTGAGCGGTACTTTTGTGTCACATAAAATCCCCGGAATCTTTATATTACGGACTTTATATTACGGACCCGGGATATTTAAACCACTTGACTTGTGAGATGATATGGTCTCCAACTTCCACCTCTAGATTAGAAACATTCCTCCTCTAAACTTACATTCCATGTACTCGGTTTTACTTCTCCAATATTTAAGGACAGAGTGTAGTATTACTGTATACTTTAGACTAGATAGAATTAAGAATAAGAGCATTAAAGGGAAAACCAAGGAAACACCTATTGTGAAAAAGATGGTACTTATGTGGTTTGGATATGTGCAAAGAAGGCATGCATAAGTCCCGGTATGGAGGATAGGTTAGATAGAGAACAGTCTGATGGTTAGAGGTAGAAGTAGGCCAGTGTTGTCAAATAGCCGCTACAGTGTTACAGAATTTGAACGAATCGATGTTGCACTGTGATACGTTGTTTAATACGAAGAGTCGTCAAATAGAGGCAATGTAGCATTGTAGCATAGAGGAGTTTGAACAAACCACTATTTTTTGTGATCCATGATTGATAACAGTCATGACACCAAGGGAGACTAAGAAAAACTATATGTCAAACTATTAAGAATGATTTCTCTTGAAATAGTTTGTCATTAGACACAAATTATTATATTACATTATAGCATCATTTGATCTACATAGTTGACCATACCTAATAGGAGAAAGGCGTTTGTTATTATTGATTATGTTGCATTGCGGATATGATTTATTTCCTCTTGTTGGGTGTAACGTGTTTTATTTTCTAAATGTTTCAAATTTGAGTGCTCAATCATTTTGTTTTCTTCTCTTCTTTGCCTTTTGTTGGTATACCATTTAGAATGCATGGGGTCTCAACTTACAACAAATGACTATTCTATTTTGTAATTGATAAAAAGTGAGTATAAGGGATTAAAAAGCATATTTTTGCATTTTTTAATCAAGTGCAATGGTCTGATCTCACGAGTAATTAGTTGAATGTAAGTCTGTCTTGAATGGCCTTATTTCCCTTAATATTAGTTATCATTATTTTTCTTTTTGTTGGTAATTGATATATTGTTACTGTCTTACATTGTTCTGCAAAAGTAATCTGATGTTGAATTGCCAATTTAGCTGGCCAAAATACTGAACATTTCTTGAAAACTAATTAAAATTTTTAATTCATTTTGTAGTCATTTATGCATAAAATTTGAAATGATTGTCATGTCATGAATCTACTAAAGTTGTTACTCTGTTATACAAATTCAGGAGGATGTCTTGCTTGCCAGAGTTCGCACTACCGGTGTTGTAGAGATCCAGTTCAGGTAAACATGACGAACAACTTTATTTGCCACGCTGAAATGACTTAGAAATGCTTATTACTGTCCCCATTTTGCTCTCTTCTTGATGTGCTTACTACTTGGAGAATAATGGTCCTTTAGTATTACTTAGTTTCCTTGCATTTATTCACTTTCTCTAAAAAGTATTTACTATGTAGTGTGCAGTAAACCCTCAAAACACTGCTGTAGTCTATGCAGCATCGAAAC